TGGGGGCAATATGCTGATTCTGTAAACCGCTTAGAGAGGGCTGAAAGCCCTATGAAGCGGTATATAAGTCTAACTGCTATTGCTATTGCTATTCTGTGGCCCGAGCTTGTGGTTCTCTGGCTCAGATCTTGTATCTCAACCAAACTCTACAAGTGGATCTATGTAATGTAAATGAATGGAGTTCTGTAATTATACAGATGTGTGCATGGAACCTCCCTACATATACAATACTAAGACATTAGTGCCTGTTTCATACCTTGTAACCTTCAACTGGGTGAAATGGTACATCATAAAGTAACCATTTTTGAATCGATGTAACTTGAATGGGCTAACTAACAGAATGTGTCCAAAATTGGAGATTCGTGACTCACATGGGATTGAAATTTGACAAACTTCAATGCTGTCATGCCTTCCAACTACAGTTCTCAGAAATCCATAGCAAGAAAAGATGAGAGGAGTATCTCCATCCTCTACCCTGCCTCCCACTGAGCCTTGAGCCCAGAAGTGCCAACAGGTGAATGGCCATTGGCTGCTTTGCTACATAGGTCAAAATTTGAAATCTCTTAGCAGCAGTGGCCATTGAGGGAAGAATGAAGTAGTATATGAGATGGATCACTAGTGAACTTACACTAATTCAATTCATCCACACTGATTTGTGAGACATCAAGAGGACAATTTCCTACTTTTCTGAAAAGTGTAGTTATAATCTAGGCTCTTTAAGGCTAGAATGATGCATATGTCACAATGTCCTCCACATAAATCCTATTGTATTTAATAAATATGGCCTCAGTTGAATCCTTTAACCAACTTTAAGTTATTGTCTTTAGGGCTACTCATGCGTGTGGTCACCAATAGGACTTACATATCAATTCTGCTCAAATATAATGTTATTCCATGGAATCTGTCTATTCAGCTTCAGTTTGTGGGAAATTCATGACTCCATAATTAATGGCATTAGAAGTGCAATCTTAATTTTTTTGTTTCCTATTCCTAATTCCCAAGAATTAGATATAAAGTGCAAATCTATAAATCTCTATTCAATTTAGCACTTCTGCATCATAATAGATAATAACAGATCCAACACTTGTCAGGTTAACTATAGAAGATCAAATCTTCTTTTTAAACTTTATTATTACTATTTTTGATCAAATCTTCTTTTGAATAACAAGAGAAAGACATATACTTCCTAAAGGTAACACTAGTTGCTGTTATTCATTTTTCCAAGGGAACATATTAAGTCCAATTAAAAGTTTTAGGAGAATTCATAATTTTAAAAGTTTTTTTTAAAAGTGTTTTTTTCCACCTAATTTTAATAGTCAAGAATTTTAATGAGACATTAATTGAAATGCAGATAAAGATATGGAGGCAGTATTTGGATTGTTTCAATCTGTAAGGAACAGGTGTCAAACTTGATTGTGTCATGTGACATTTTGTGACGTATTGCAATGTTTTTTGGCTTTGCGCAGCTGGGGAAGTTTAAGGATATGTTGGTAAGAAGTAGATAAACCACCTGCTATTTAACTTTGCTTATGTGAGAACAATTCTTGGAATGGGGTTCTTTTATTTAAGTTAACTTTTATCCATCTTCTATTATAACACATCCAAGAGACTTACTGGTGAAGACACTTGCCTCCTGCTTAGAAGGTTGAGAGTTCAATTCTTGGAGTGGCAGATGTTTCTCTCTAGACGCAAAGAGAAAATATCTGTTTCAGACTCATGTAGGCATCAGGAAGGGCATCCAGCTAGTAAACACCTAACTCTATCCAGTCACCCTGACTTTACCCCAAATTAAAGGACTACAAAAGTATAAAAAGAATATTGTTTCCACAGTCTTCTCTAAGTCACTATAGCAGTTAGACTTATATATCGCTTCATAGGGCTTTCAGCCCTCTCTAAGCGGTTTACAGAGTCAGCATATCGCCCCTNTTCAGTAGATTTGACGAACCGGTTCTACCGAATAGGTGAGAACTGGTAGGAACCCACCTCTGGATGTAGCCTACATTGAGTTTTCCACTCTTGTTTTTCTTTTAAGATTTGAATTAATACAAAGCTTCAAGTTCAGCCTGGGGTGTGACATTTTCCCATCACTAATGCCATTTTGCTCAGAGAGAAATCACTAACCATAAAATAACAAACAATGTGATTTTAAATGTTTCAGCATGATAAGACTTATATAATGCGATTGACCAATGCACGAGTGGCTTATCAGAGAATTTGATAGCGTTATATAAAATCATGTAATATAGTTAATAAAATCATGTGAAAATTGTGTGTCTTTCAGCTTTTTGGAAAGATTTTGAAGCACTGTAAAAATGATGTCATTCAATTAAAGAAATTATTCTTATTAAAGCAAAATTGTCATTCTGTTGGAATCTTCTGTTAGAAGATTATTATTATTATTAATTATTTCAGAACTGAAGAGTGGAATATGGACTGGAATAAACAAAGCTATATATGAGTAGGACCATTGAAACAATTTTAGCGTTAAGGTGACATGACACATAAAAATAACCCTCTACTTGTTGGAAGAGAACCCTCATTTGGTTCTATTGGTTTATTGGAGGCAGAGGTGGGTTGCTCCCAGTTCAGCACAGATCAGCTGAACTGTTAGTAGTGGCAGTGGAAGGCTCCACCCACTTGCCTGGACACTTCTGCACATGCACAGAAGTGGCACATGCAGGAACATGCACAGAAGCATGCCTGAACCAGTAGTAAAAAAATTGGCAACCCATCACTGGTTGGACGTGTTAGTGATGGCCTCTTTTACTTTGAGAATTGGCTACCTCAACTGGCTCTGGTAGCTAAAAAATCAGAAAAGGGGTAAGAACCTATTTTTAATTTACACCTGTGTATTTCAATAGCTGTGTAGTTACATCAGGTTGCGGGTTTCAACGAGTTCGCGGCGGTCCCTGCAGACCGATTGGTCGGTGAACCCAGAAGTAAGTAACTTCCAGGAACGCCAAAGGGCCACCTGTCCGCCCGCGCTCCTTACCGATCTTTGAAGGCTTCTGCACTTCCACGCAGGCGCATGGCACATACAGCGCCTGNTCTGCCTCACTGATGTCCAACTCCGAAGGCAGCTGATAACTGGCCCCCTCTCTGCCTATGGCAGAGAGCCCTCGTCCGAGCCTTCTCCAGACTCCAGGACTGGCCCACGTTCCTCCCCAACCTCCTCATTGTCCGAGTCTGCTGCCAGCTCTGCTGGCGTGCCACAACAAGGGGTTGGACTAGAAGACCTCCGAGGTCCCTTCCAGCCCTGGGATTCTATGTTCCATGGGGAGATTCCCCCCATTATCCGTGTCTTGGCTCACAGACCACCATGCCTGGGCATGGAGAGAGGATGTGCTCTTAGTGGGCCTTCATCTCCTACTTACCTTCTTTGGAGAAGGGGTCGAAGAGGGCTAATTCTTGGACCGATAAGAGGCAGTGGGAAGGCGAGTCGTTCCTGGCTTCTTCCTCCTCTTCCTCCCGGAAGGCAAAGAGGGCATCTAGGTCTTGATCCAGAGTGTCAGAGGCCTCCACTGTGGTGGTAAAAGCACCAGTCAGTAGACGCAGGAGCACAACTTCTAGTCAGCTCCCATCTGGGGTGGAGAGTATGGAACCTGAAGATTTGGGTTCCCGGCGATTGCAGGCATGCGATTCATCACAGCAAAATGTCGGCAACTTTAAGATGGGTGGACTTCAACTCCCAGGATGCCCCCAGAGAGGAAGAAGGCAGAAAAAAGAAAAAGGGAAGGATGGAGAAAGTGAAAGAAGGCAGAAAAAAAGGAAGGGGGAGGGAGTGAAGGAAGGAGAAGGAAGGAAGGAAGGAAGGAAAGAAAGAAATGAAGGGAGAGAGAAGGAAAGGAAGGGAGAGAGAAGGAAAGGAAGGAAGAAGGAAGGAGAAAAAGAATGAAAGGATACAAGGAAGGAAGGAAGATAAAGGAGGAAGGCAGGAAAGAAGGAAGGAAAGGAGAAAGAAGGAGAAAGAAAGAAGGCATAAAAAAGGGAAAGGAACGAAGGGAGAGACGAGGAAGGAAGGAAGATAAAGAAGGAAGGCAGGAAAGACGGAAAGGGAAAGAAAGGAGAAAGAAGGCAGAAAAAGAAAAGGAACGAAGGAAGAGGCAAGAGAGGAAGGAAGGAGGAGAAAGAATGAAAAGGAAGGGAGGGAGAGACAAGAGGAAGGAAGGAAAGGAGAAGGAAGGAGAAAGAATGAAAAGGAAGGAAGGAAGGAGGGAAGGAAGGAAGGAAGGAAGGAAGGAAGGAAGGAAGGAAGGAAGGAAGGAAGGAAATGCTCTGTTCAACCTTTCTCACTTTGCCATCAAGAGCCTTAAAGGGGGGGGTACCTTGGTTCTCCATTGGGGGCTCAGAGGCACCATCTTTGCTGGCTGCCCCCGGCTTGGGGTCCAGCAGCCCATCATCCTGAACCAGACCCAGTGCCTCCTCGCCCTGCTCGACTCCTGCCGCGGGTACCGGGATGAGAGGGAGGGGCAGCGAAGGCGCCTCGCATTGCCTGGCACTGCTCTGCCCCTCTCCGCCCTGCAAGGACAAAGCAGGCCTCTGCATTCACACAATCATACAAGGCGGTTTGTTTGTTTGTTTAGTTGGGATTACAGCTAATCCTCCATTTACAACAGCTCGCTTAGTGACGGTTGAAAGTTACAACGGCACTGGGAAAAAAGTGACTTTATGACCATCTTTCACACTTACGACCATGGCGGTAACACGATTTACATCCAGCTGTTTGACAACTGACTCACAGTTATGACGGTCGCAGTGTCCCGGCGTCACACGACCGACTTGACAAGCAAAATCAACGAGGGAAGCCGGATTCACTTAACCACGGGGTGACTAGCTTAACGTCGGCAGTGATTCACTTAAAAGATGTGGGCAAGAAAGATCGCAAAACGGGACAAAACTCACTGAACAAATGTCTCATTCAGCATCCTAAATTCTGGGCTTGATTGTGGTCGTAAGTAGAGGACTAACCTGTATTTATTTATTCACTAGCCGATAACCCGATGTGGCCTGGTATTTATTTATCCTAATCCTATATTAGACAGGAAAAGCCTAGATTTTGTTGAAAATGTCCAGGCCAATCGTAATTTCTATGTTAAATATTCCCCCTTACCAGAGGGAGCCCCCTTGTGGAGTACTGTGAAACTGTTACTATGACAACTCCACTGCACTGTAGAGTAGAAGCCATTTTACAGCAGTACGGTAGAAGCCATTTTAAGGCACAACAGGCTGTATCCTAACAGAACACACACTCCAAGAGGTGTTAGGGGTGTCTTACCCCCACAGTATTTGTTTCCAGAGAGTAAGTCATCCGTGCACCAAGCTTGGTTGAGATTGCGCGAGGCGTTCCAGAGTTATGCTGGAACATGCGCGCGCACACACACACACACACTTATATAGATAGATTATGAAATTTATTTGCCACCCATCTCGCATCCAGCGATTCAGGGTTCAAGGACTGCGGTAAACTTTGTAACCCTGACAAACCATGATTGCGCAACACAGTCATTCCCCCTGCCCCCCTCCTTCCCCACCCAACGTGGCTCTTGATCTCTGGGTTGCCACGCGGACCCAAAATAAACACAGAATAAATAAATGAAGGTACCTGGAAGAATTCCTTCAGCTGGGGGCTGTTATTTAAGGCCGGGATGTGTATGGTGAAGCGTAGCATGTCTTCCGCTGCTTTCCTCCGTTCTTCAATGACCTCGGGGTCAAATCGGCCTGCGGAAGAATTGGGAGCAAGGTTTAAGAGATTCCTAACGGCTGGGGATTAGCGGCGTTGTAATCCCCGGGAAGACAGCCGGGGGAGGAGGGTTGGGGGGGAGAGGAAGAGAACGGAACAGCTCCCCCAAATCTGGTGGTTCTTTTTTCCTGGGCTGCAAAACTGGACGAGGGGTTGTTATGGGGACTCACCGAAGACCTGAGCCCGCGGGAAAGCGGGGAAGTTCTCCATGCGGCGGAAGAGGTTGCGATGGGTGTACGCCAGGTCTGCATGCAGCTTCTTAAAGTCGCTGTATCTTTTCCAGACCACGATCTGCGAAGAGATTACAACAGCGGAGAATTTGTGGCTCGGCTAAGTTTTCTCCAAGCAGGGACTCCCTGAAGGGGTTCTGACCCAGGTCCCGCAACATGACCAACCCTCTGAAGTGAACTCAAAGATTCCTTTATGAGGAGCGATGGCGGCTCCGGCAAAAAGTTTCTCTCTCACGACGGGCTAACAAGTCCGGCCGTCCAGAAGATGAATAGTTGTCTGCCCCATCTATTCATCTCCGCCCCCTGCCTTTCATCCCCAGAGCTAGGGTGGGGCTTCGCTAGCAGCAGTGGCTCTTCTGTCCCAAGGACCGGCCCATAGATTTCCTCTGCTCTCCTCTCCTCTGCCTTGTGTGCATCAGGCACTGGACCCAGCTGTCCCTCCTCTTCCTCATCAGCCACCTCCAGACCTGGGGGCTGTTGACTCTCCATCTGGGGGCTGATGGACGGCCCAGGCTCTGCCTCTGCCCTCCCCCCTTTCTGTGACAGCTCCC